AAGTAAAATCACATTATGGGAAAATTTTCAAATATATTATCAAAAGTATTATACATCTCCACATCACGTTTTGATTAACTTTCATTTATACTTTATGCATGATTACACGTCTTCACACAAGTAGACACAGGGATGCGATGCAAAATCATAGAAAAATTATAGCTTCTCACTAAATTAGACTTGTTGCGATAAGAACATATTCACAGACACACATATTTTCTTTTTGAATTTTTAACAGTTTACACAAATATTTCTCTCGTATCACAAAACTTTTTCGACATTGCAGTGGTCTTCCTCACCTAGCTGTATCGAGCAGTACACCACCACCATCCACATCGCCTTTACCTGTAAAGATAAAGAGTGAACCGATAAGTCCACCCAGAGATCCGCATGGTAACAGTGGGTCTAATGGTGGACCCAGTAACGCCAGCAATCTACACCATACAAACTTGAATGTCGGTCCATCGTCCAGTACTGGTCCACCGCCACATCACGTGTCTCATCCGGGACCTCAGACACTGAACTTGGTATCGAGCAGACCGAGTAGTAATCCACCTCCGTCCCACTCGGGTAGCATAACACCGACAAATCTACCGTCGCCGGGAAGTGGTACAGTCGGTGACATCAGAACGAATCATTCTAGCGGCGGGAATGGAGGGAACAGTTCAGACTACGAGAATGGACCGCTCATGAAACGCTCGAGAATCACGGAAGGTTGGGCGACTTAATGTCGATTAAATTGTTGCACTCATCAGTTGTTTGATACCTCCTCGACGTACAACGGCATATAAGTGCTTGTGAGTTCCAGTATAATTAAACAAACTCCTTTTAAACGTCTTTGAAACGCGTATTTCGTACTATCGCGATAACGATAGCTACGTGATGGATACGCTTCCGCCGTTACTAGCGGAGTGGAAAAATCTGTTTATATTTTGAAGCTGACACAGAATATACATTTATTTGAAGAAAAAAAAAAAGAAAATACGGTGCCATAATGTTGAAACTTTATATATATATATTATATATATGATAGATACACATATATATATATATTTTCATGTATATAATATGAAGTGTTGTTTGTATATATGTCATAAAATTCGTACTAACTTTCGCGATATGGCATTGAGTTCTTGATGCTTATCGTACGAAAATTTATGCGAAAGAAAAACAGTATGTTAGGGAATAACGCAGTACCCAAATTATAAAATTTCTGAAAGTGTAATACTGAATCTAAAAGAGTTTGTGAGAAAATCTACACGTAGTGTAAGATTTATAAAGACCAGAACTTACCATTGCAATTCGTTGTTGTTTTGTATGGTATAGTAGTCAGAATACGCCATAATCCGTTAATATGATCTCGCGCTGCAAAAATATGCTTTGTTCAGAAACATTGCCATTGCAGTTCGCAAACATTATATTCCATTAAATATATCAGCCATTTATTTACGAGCAACTTGTTCACAGGAAATGCAAACTTGTTATTGCAGTTTTCTCTGTTCGAATTTTATCAAAAAGAAATTTCATATTTTATTTTGCATATTAAGATTTTTTAATTTTTGAATTAACCAACTAATTTTATTGTTAACGTGAATTTATTAACGGTCTGTGGTTTTCGAACATATGGAAATCGGCTGCTGTACTCAAACTTTTCATGATATTCTATAGAACATGAGTCGAAATTAATATATTGAATTATATGAGGTAATATGAGATATAGATAGGCATATTATATAGTGTTGATTAATTAAAAAAGATATACACACAGCGCGCGTATAGATATATACATACATATATATATATATACACGTTATATACATTTTCCACAAGTATTTTGCACATTTGTATAAAGAAAGATTACGGAGGAAGAAAACTTGAAAACTTTGCAACCCTTGAAGCCTAAAAATATGTAACGAGAGTTTGTATACTACAGGTGTATGCCGTATACTAAAAATGTGATTAAACAAAACTTATGATAAGGAGGATTGAGTGATACTAATGTTAATAACTTTAATCGTAAATTTTTAAAGTAACCAAAATTACACACATTTCTAAATACACTTCATTATATTTGCCATGATCAATTTTATATAATTTTAACCTGTAGTTTTTTTAAATACAAAAACACTTCCAGAAGGATTGATTGTACATAGAAAACGAAATTGTTCTTAAGGTGAGAATTTAAAAAATCTTTCGTCGCAGAGATCCATTCTGTGATATGTAAGAAGTTATATAAATATATAGAAGAGATTATCCTTTTCGATATCAGAAACGCGACCTTCTCGGCCAACAATCATGTAAAGATAAATTTAAAAAGATCTTGGCAAAACAGGGTTGCAATTGTGTAACGATGTAGAATTACCTTCTTCCTGAAATCAGTAAGATGAAAATGTGTCAAGATGGTTTCAATGTATGTTTTACAATCTCAGGATGTGAAAATCCTGATGAAAATCGTTCTCGAGAGTTGTATTTGATAAATTATTGTAATTAACATACTAATGGAATATGCAGGTATATGAATGAATAGTGCCTGGCACCATTTGTGGCCCTCCTGTTAGGATGCTTTCCCAAATCGTATATGCAGTACAATTTGTTAATAAAGTCTTGAAAATAATAAGCTACTCTTAAGCGCGATATATATACATATACGAGGAAACGATATATGATGTTGTAAGCTTTATAATGTGACTTTTTGACAAATAGCGTGGGAAGGCAACCTCTATTATAATCGAAGGTTGTACGGTGAGGTATAACCCTCGATATTCATTTTCTTTATTAATGCATATATTAGAAATGTTTCATATGACTGTACGAACAATCGGTATGTGGAATATGAAAGCGTAATGCGTATAGTCATTAATCTTAATCACGAATTTGTAAGATGATCACAAAGTGCAATCTCTTAGCCAACACACTTTTTTATCAAACAAAAAAATATAAAGAAATTGTTATTTTTCATAACGAAGAAGTAAACTTTAATGTATTAAAGATATATATGTCTCCACTAGTTATTAAACTTTTCCTATTGATACGAAATTTATTATATTTAATTGATATTTAATTGTAATATATTCTATTCATATATTATGAAAGATGATTGTATATACCTGGTACACAGGTATAAATGTTTGCAAGTGGATTTATATATTTTAAAATTTCGTATTACGTTTAAATGCATTTGATCGATATGTTGAACAGGAATACGAATTAAATCCAAGGCCAATCTCTCGACGTTATTTTTTCGAGAATATTATATTCTTTATTGTGACTTTTGCATAACTTTGAACGTAAGATAAAAATGTTAAATCAGTTAATTTCACATTTTATCGGCGTTGTTATATCGGTAATTGCAATTCCTCACATATATTTGCCTCACACAGGATATAATTTAAATTTAATCTCAACGGATATTATAAACTCAAAACTTTAATTCTTTCTCCGAAATGCCCTATTGTGATATCGAAACTGACATGATCCTTTTGCATAATAAGTCCATCTAAGGTCATTTGAATGTTCTGACATCAACACTTCTATAACAGTCACAGTGTGATGTGAAAAGCATGAGCAGTACTTTATATGCAAGGTTTATATGTACTATCTGATCTATTTTACCATAACATACAGTACGATAATCCATAACAAAACCCATAAGAGTAGGCAATTTGTTAAATGTACGTTAAGTACATGTACGTACACTTCAATGTATATTTTTAATATGAAATACGTGTAAGTTATATCTGTGAGCAAAAATAAGTTGATGTAATTAAAGATGTATTCGTCTTGATCGGCACAACTTATGACGAAGGTTACATTGTTATCAACACATTGCAGAATAGAATAAAGTTTATACTTTGCAATTTTCACTGTTTGACTGCAAATATCGAAAACTATTTTAATTTTAAAAATGTTTGAAAAATGTAATATAGATAAAACATTATCAATTTTGGAAGACTTGTATCCCGGTGACTGAAGGTGTATCTTTCTGTATTAGCTTTTTTTTCTTTAACTTGGAAAGTTCAAAGCGCGATCCAATTGTGTAAAATTGTGCTGACTTGTGTGACATATATTTTATTTAAAATATATATTGCGTTTAAAATATTCGTTTATATCGTGTTCTAAATACTCTTTGGTTACTTGCCGTGAATTACGATCATACAGTTGTGCCTCAAGATTTCAACAGATATTCAATACGTAAAGTAATGATAATTATTGTAGTTAAAAACTCAGAGACTATTGAAATTGTTGGAACGCTGTGAACGAAATGGACCATCGTTAGAAGAGCCATAAGATAAATGAGGTCTACGAATTGGTTAGACGTTTTATATTGCAACATAAACTAAGATTGTTTGGAAAAGAGGCCATTATAGGCTTTAGGCAATGTTCGCAAATAATCGAATTGCAATGCACGGCACAAGTACCAGATCACTGTAACAATGTAGTAAAATAAAATGTATATGTACTAGCCACAACTGTTGTCACC